TCACCCACTACTATCTTACCTGTCAGTGAAAGCGTAGGCAACTGATCTTGGAAAAAAAACTACCAACACAACGGTGCCTAACTGCAACGCACGAAACCTAACAGGAAATTTTCCACAGACAGCAACCCACCACGCAGGTATCGGTGACATTTGCAACAGAACGTGATGAATGGTGCTCCTTGCTCAGGATGTCCTGAGCGGCAGCTAACATCAAGCTGTATACAAAGTTATTGCTCACGCCAAATACCCTGAAAATAGACGTCTTCTTTAAATAGCGTAAACATTTTATTCAAACAATTCCTGCGGTTTCCACGTAGGCAAAAACCTGTTTGTAAACTTCGTCTTCCATTCAACACTGCTAGCAATCATTCCAGTGATCCATTTTTGCTTCGCCTATGTCATTTTTCTACAGTAGTGCTATAGGAAAAATTGTCAAAAAGAAAATCAAAGCAACATTTGCCACAGTGGCATTGGAAAGTGCTGTGAATTAGAGATGAAGTCAGATTTCCTGTCGCATTCTCAAAAGTGAAGAGAGCTGGTTGCATAAAAATCGGTAGTCAAAGAAAGACATCGCAGATTTACATATTCTCTCACCATCAAAGTACCACACCTAAACATACGAGCAAGCCGACAACACAGCGTAATACAGCGGGAAACAACTGTACGATCTGATTCTGCGTTCACTACCTGGTTTATTCCAAATTTTGATATCACGTTCCGTCATTTTCAAAATGACCATCTCCGAATATGTTGGCAAATTTTTGCAGGTTTGTCAACCCAATAAGTCTTGTCTTTATCTCAAAACCGACTTTCCTTTAACCTCGCTGTGACTAATCCATGTGTATTCTTTCTTTGACAGCCCAGCTGATAATGATGCCGACTTCTACAGGGTGGATTGTCCCGAGAAACAAGTTGTTATCACCGAACAATCACTACTACCGACAGCCAGCATCCTGTATAAAATAGCTTCGTTGGGTGAGTATGCTCAGTCTAAAGATGCTCTACCGAGGAAGACCCTGCTCGATACGAGGATGAAGATGCCACATCGAGAAGACGAACAGCCGTGGGTCATCGACTTGGACCATCGATTCTGATGAAGACCAAGACTTCGAAACATTAGTCAAATAAAAATTGTATACCAACTTCGTGTAAGCTTATCAAAGAAAGAATGCATATCTCTTCTTTATTTTTTCACCGCAAGAAGAAGGATTCCATGCTTTTCAAATGATGGGAACTCACCAGAATGCGACCATATTTCTTGCTTCGCTCTGTTTTGTTTCCTTATCGAAAACCATAGCTCTCTTTGAATAACTGAAATCCGAGGAGGCTGTTTGTCAAAAGGTCTTCAAACACTGAGCTGCAAAAGCTATCTGTACAAGTGCCGAAACAACAAATCTACGCAGAATGGCCACAAACTATAGAGACAAAATACTATGAAGAAACAATTAGATGAAAGAACACGTAAAAATCCTGAGAAAGAATTCTTCGTTGTCTAGATGTGTTCTTATAAATTGCCTTTCTTGAGCTGATGCGAGGTTGGTGTACAGCTCAAGAAAGGCAGTTGGTAGGAATACATGTAGATATATAAATTATTTATGCCGAGGTCTATAGAAGGTTTGTCGTCCGAATTCTTTGTTAATTGGAGACGAAAGTTGTTCAGAAAATACAGAGGGTGGGAACGTATAACAGCAATAACAAACAAAACCGCTTAATTTCAAAACTACAAACATTCGAAAAATCCACAACAAGCTCTGAAATAATGTGAACTCATTATCAGACGCAAATGGATTAACTCAGCGCACCTAACCTTTGAGTTATTGATAGAGACTACGGGAAGAAGTCAGCGTTGACGAGCCAAAGAGGCAGTTCAGTTGTAGACGGAAGTAGAGACGATCTATGAACCATTGTTCTGATTAGACTAGCGTCAACTGCACAGTGAATATGAGAACCTTTCAAGACAGCTCGTTAGGCCTGCCGAATTTTCATTTCTAGTGGAAATTCAGAAAACTGCCGTGGGAAGGGGAAAACCGAGTGTGAATCCAATAATTACCAGTTTCGCATCAACAAACGACCATCGTCTTGCTTTCGACAACTGAATGGTATTAAATAAGAATAAACATTAGTCATGTCTATACGAGGTGACGATATGAAGAAATGACATCACTTCGTGCCGTTGCACGATCGCGTCAGAGCTGTGGGGCATTCTTTTGTTCACTCGCATAAAACAGGCTTTAATTATAAGGACTAACAAAATTAGAACAGACGAAGAAACAAAGAGTAGGGTCGGTTCGCTACTGGATGAAATAACCATTAAGTATTTTTGTTACATTTTCAAGATAGTTTTATAAGTCAAACTTGCACTTAACGAACTACTACGTTTTGACAATCACTCCGATGTTTTTCGGTTTTTTAAGGTAAAGTAGGACAGCTGTTGAAATTGTGCTGAATGCTGTTCCCATTAGGTGACCGTTACATCTGTCTACGTAGATTTGAAACAGAATGGGTTACTCATGGCAAGAACATGCAACTACGGACAAATGAGAGAAGCAAAAAAAGGTGCTTTGTAGAAATCTATCGCATTCAGGCTCACGAAACATTCTATTTTTAAAGCTGTAGCCGCATGAGGAACGATAGATAAACGACCATTTTTTGTTGACTACAAGCAAAAGTATTTAAGCATACACGGAGCAAATACGGCTTTTCCATAACCAAATTAGTCGACTGAAGGTATAGCAAAAGCCAGCAAAGAGAGCTGTCTGCCGATTTCCTGCCTTTATTTTGCCGCTGTTTCGCCGGAATCTACTCCACGTGTTGTTGCAGGGCGCCTCCGACCACTGCGCCACAAGCCCCCTTTTACTCATCGTAAATCGAAACCATTCCTCAATAAGTGCGTCCATTGTTCAGCTCAATGGCCGTATATAATAAACTCCATTGCAATCACTGACGAATGCCTGTTCGCAATATTTTGGAAAAAACACTGTCAATCGAATTCCTTCCCTGGAAAACAATTCACTATGGAAAAAGGTGATCAAAACACGACATTAGCTAAAATGCTCGAGAGCAACAATGGGCATTTGTCAGTGATTACAATCGAGAAACCAAAAGCAAACTATTCAAGAGAAGATCCGCTCAACTTGGGTAACCTAATGTGCCACTGTAGTTTGGAAGGTGAGTAGGAATGCCGTTCACATTTTGGTGAATAAAAAACCTCAATATGGACACAGATCGACCACTTCGTAAATGTGCGACCTCCATTTATCATTGAACACAAATCTAACAGAATAGATGAGAAACTGCTCATCTGTGTTTTATTAGATGGAGCGACTCGTTTTCACGCAGCTCCCCCTATGAAGCAAAAATGTGAGAAAGAGCACTAGAAACACATTGCAGCAAAACCAACCAACGAAAAAATCTCACATATTATTCGAGATTTTCAAATTTCTTCTGGACCTCCCAAGAGATGCAAGGCACTTTGGGTTCAAAAAGCCATGTAGGATAGATTGCTTAAAAAAGTCTTCAAGATCTGCACTTGAGGCAGATAAATATTTGTAGAGAAAATAGGCATCTAAGGAAATTATCCACAGAATTTTATTTTATACTCGCGAGATTCTAAAAAGAACTCATTGAATCGGTGGTTAACCAGAGGCATTTAGTGTTCTGCTTGACAGTCCAAATAAAACCCAGAGGACGTCCAGTAGAATTAACAAACAAAATTTTGGACAAAAGGTTGCTTAGGGAGCAGTCCTTCTCAACTTTTAAAATAAAAACGAAGCAGTGAAAAACAATCCCAGTCCAGGTGGCATAGCAAAGGCTGTGAAAGATCCGATAAGCAAAAATGTACAAAGAGCATTCCAAAACGTTCACAATTTCGTCAACACATCCGAGATTCAACACTCATCCACCCGAATGTAAACTTTGACTTCTTAAGGAATGCGTTTACTACCGTATGGACCTGATCCAACCAATTGTTACAGAAAGAATTTAATTCCAGCAGAAAACATAGAGACGTAAAAGCACCGGTAGAGGCCCCGCAAAAATTACGAAATGCCGTTTCTTTAGCATGTCGGTGAAGACTTCTTGGATGAAACAGATATCAGCAATAAAGCACAGGTAGGGCAGCGAATTTCACATGCCGCTTCGGAATATTTTTTCTGACATTTTTACTGTTCCCATATCTTTTTCCAAATAACCGTAAAAACCAGAGTGCGCCATTATTCACATCCCAGAACAACAACCACTAAGTGCTTCTTTTATCGGAACCGTACTCGTGTACGATTTGAATATAGCCTCTCTTGAAAGACTAAGGGTTCTCATTTTGATGTCAAAGGCTATAGAAGTGAATCCACACAGGAAATATTTGTCAGGAACTATAGGTGGCCTATCCAAATGTCTTAAGCAGTTTTTAGTGAATTGTCGATTAACGGCATTGGAACAAATAATCATGGAGCTCAAATCGGTGGATACTTAGAATTAGTGCCAAAATACCCTTAGAAGTGTTGAATGGACCATTGGAGCTTCTAACGCTGTCTATTGATGACAAGTGAAGAAAAGAAAGGCAAATGTGGTTCGGAAAAACACATATATGACAAGTTTACGATTAGATGAGATAGTGTGTTTTCAGAGAATCAATTACATCTGAAATGCAAATAGAAGGAGAATTCGGCCGTTACGTGTGACTCACAACTAGGGGAAACGCAACGCTTAATTCGTGATGAATATCACGGATCAATCACGGAATGATGAGTGGTGGCTTGGTGGCTTATATGGCCACCCAATGTGGAGTCGAGCCATAGACCATGCGTATATTGCTAGAACTCGCTTCATCATTGCTACAGCACATTTAACAGCTTCCAACTATAGCAAGATAATAAAACAAAAACATAACACGGAATACTGAAACACAGAATGCATGATCGACACTAAGGAAATCTCAGCATGGAATGCACAATCAGTTGATACGGATACGACGGGATGCGAAGCATTGCCGTTGTTAGTGAGTTTTAAAGGAGGAGTATGAATCGCCCTTGTAGCGATGAAATCCTACCTTTTTCATTATCGTTCGAGTTCATTATGTTGTTCTCGATCTGCTGCATATGCACGGCTCTGTTAGAAAGGTTCAAGTATTCGGCACAGCCAATACTTCTCGGATCTATCAATTGATGGTGTCTATCTAGAAAAGATAAGTTCATCAGGCGATTTGTTACCATGCTGCAGAAATAAACTAGCGTTCGACGACTTGGCAAAGAAAGAAGTAATATGACGGAAGTAGACTGGATCAGTGTCACATTATCACTTGTCGTACTCTATCTAGTTTACCTATATGGACACATCGATGGCCGTATTCACTGTTTGTGCGGGCCCAGCATAATTTCCATTTTATAGGTGTCTTTCTGGTTTAGTTATTGTAGCTCTCTGGAGTCTCGATGTCATCCTAGCCAAAGTCTGCCCCAGGTCACAGTGACCACCAAAAGCAGGCGCAGTACTTGTGGATCAAAGAGAGAGAGATTTGCCACCATGTGACTAGTTTGATACCGGGACGGTAGTGGATCCTGGTATTGGCTCACTCTTAGCTACGTTTCGTGATGGAGAGAATGGACTCCTTCGCAATTTGGAAGGATCTGCTGAGGTGACGAACCCTTGCTGTAAATAGCAATCCAGCACCTTTGAACATCGCCCAGCTACGATAACGGACTATACCGTTAGGAAGGTCGTATCCAACAAAGGTCTTAGTAAAATGGGTTATATTACTTGCAATACTATTGTTGTAGTGTAATCAAAAAGGTATGAATCGCTGCTCGATCATTAATACTTCGTTCCAGAACTTAGCGAATAATGCATGTGTAACGCACTTAGAACCGCCATGCACTACATACACGGGCTTTGGTTCAACTCTGGGCTCGGTCAAAGAAAGCCTTGCGGAGTTGGGAAATCGGTAAAAGATGTGTTGGAGAGGATAAAAACACTGAGCTGCAAAATCTGCTGGCCGCTTGAAATCGTCATGTAAACCAAATGTGCATTACTTCAATTCCTTGGTGTTATGAATGGAATCGGTTACATTTTCAGCAACGTTTTATTCCTTACGCTTTCCAACTTCACACATTGTGTTCGTAGTAGAGTACAAGATAGAGCTTTGCCAATCCACGTAGGTTCACATCATAAAGAAAGTACATCAATACCTCTTGTAGTTTACATTTGAGCTTTAAACCGTACAGCAAATTTTTACCAACAATGATGGTAATTATTTACTAATTTACCTCTATGGGTAAAAGAAAAGATAAAGCTCTCTGCGTTGATCAATCCCTTTAGGGATGCGCCATGCATTCGACTTCATTAATCATCGTTCGGAGGTGACCATATCTGGCGTTTACAATGGCTCGCGGTGGCCTAGCGATGTAACGAGCCAGTGCTGCTATCCTCCCAGACAAGTCTGGTACCGATTTCACGCCCCCGGAGGTATGCAAGGCGTGATGAGCCACAGGCGCGGGGATCGATTCCAAGTGTTTGTCGCAGTGGCGTCTCCAAGCACTGCGCCACCTGCGCTTTACGTATTTACATACAGATTAAGCCTGTTTTTTCTTTACCCTAGTTTTATTTTGCTCGTTGAGATTGGACCTGGGAACACCTTGGCAGTTGCTTCCCAGAATCCCAGGCAAGAAATTTGGACAGATCAGCTTCAAATCGCTTGGTTGGAAAAGATTCTTCTCGTACAGTTGCTCGTGAAAATATTCACTTAACTACCAAGTAGGCGTGTTTGCACCATTCTTATGATACTGCAGGCCTTATTCGTTGGTCTAAAATAAACGCTAGCCAAGCCAACATTTTAAGCGGTTTGATTTGAACCCTGTGAGATCGTTGATTTCACGATTTGCGCTTTCAAAATCATCCATGTGTACAAGCACTATAAATCTGCTTTAGAAAAAGACAAATCAATAAAACGCAACATTTTCGAAATCTCCACCTTTAATGTTATCCCGGCTTACCACCTATACTTCCTTGTCCTATTTTTTTTTTACAAAAACTAAAGCTTTTGAGTTAACATGTATTCCTTCTTTGATGTGCTTACACAAGATTGATAAACAGATTTATTCAGACAACTTCTCGATCTCTTCGTCTTCATCAGAGCCGACGTTCCAAGTCGATAGTCCACCTGGATTGCAACAACTAGATCGCCCAATATCCTTTTTACGCTGTAAATTGCCCACTGCTAATGTAAACTTCAAAGTATGGCAGACGAGAAACTAAAGCCGTTTGGTTCAAGATATCGTACATTTAGATTTCAACATAATTTAGTTTAGTTTCTAAGCGCCTGCTGGACATAGGACTTCTGATAACCTTGCTCTAAATTGTAACACAGTAAAGTTCCCTTCTTTCTTTGAGCACTTCCTTAATACAGCGTTCAAAACAGGTTTTATGCTCCATTATAAACGCTGAACCGTTCGCTTTTGGTTTTATTGTAAGAAATGAATTAATTATTAAAAACACGTTGTCCAGCACGCCGCGTTGAAGTGCATCTGTGTCACTCTCATATTCTTCTCTATGAAACCTTAGTAAGGCACAGGCGTGATATAATTTAGCAGAAAATTCCGGTGTTTAAAGCTTTTAGGCAAAACTTTTTTTATATTCAGTGCAGGCACATTCACCCGGTGTTCTACTAGCTGACTATTACCATTTTCCGTACACCATAGGTACAGAGCAGCGATACCAAGTATAATTCTCGTCCGAGAACACTTCTCTTAAAGTCGGATGGAATTGCTTCCACGCTTTTTTTTACTATGGCTTCGACTGCTGTCTGAACATTTTTTCATTTCGACTCGTTGTGAATGTCGCTGAACGCTGGTAGAATCGATTCTGGCTAGAATTCTGAGATAACCGCGTTAGAAAGCTCCTACATGTATTAGAAAGAGTGAGTTTGTCCCCGTCAAGTCTGCTACCAATTTCTCAACCGTAGAGTGATAATAACAGAGCGCGTGCGGCGCAGTAGTCGGAAGTGCCTTGCAACAAACACGTGGAATCGATCCCGGCTTCCATGGCCCACCAAGCTTTCCATCTCTCCGGGGTCGGCAAATAGATATCAGACTTGTTTGGGAGGATAGCAGTGCTGGCTCGATACGTCGGTAGGCCACCACGAGTCATTATAAAGGCCAGATAAGCATTCAGTCACCTCCAAACTATGCTTAATGAAATAGAATGCATAACGCATCCTTCAGAAACTGATAAACGCCGAGAGCATTGTCCTTCTTGTCCGTTAAAGGGATAACAGGCTTCCTGAAGCCGGTGCGGGGTCGAGCGCCTGCATAGATTAGGCTGTTAGCGCAGCAAGCTGGAACGCTACCACAGCGCTACTCGCTTACCATTTGAACAAACGTATTGAAAAAACCGAACTTAAGAGGTCGAATATTTTCAAGATGACTTTTATCGTTAAAATTATAGAATGGCCTCGGGTCATAATGCACTTAGTTTACAGTTGTCATCAACGTCTATTATTTTTTATAATTTCTAAAAAGGTTAATAGAACTAATAATGTCTATGGTTAATCCTACTGTCCCCTTGAATACTTTGATGACTTTTTATTCCAAATTTTGAGTTGAAGGTGCGTGTAGCGCAGAGGTAGTGATGCGTTTCATCACGATAGTTAATCCGATTCTAGGTCACTGGTCTCACACCGCCTCCCGTCTTTATAGGATCGGAAACTTGGTACCAGGTACGTATTTAATCTGGCAACTCCCTCCAACCCACGTGGAAACGCTCTAGGACGAGTATCCCATATGCTAGGGAGAATCGACTCAAGCAGTAAACCAGGACTCACAGGGAGAATCTCTAGCAACATCCAACGACATTGCTCAAGCAGCAGCTGTGTGACCAGATGTGAGAGCGGTTTCTGTTGAAATCAATAAACTTCCGTGATAGTTGAATTATTTTGGTGTTATTTTGGAAGCAGCTATTATTTCGAAACTAAACAGTGTGGTAAGTTTTCCAAAGAAAAAAACCTCAGCATAAATCGCTTGGTGCTCACTGAGCAGGAGCATAAAATGCGAGTGGCACGTGACCATTCCAGTCGGATTACTTGAGAAGAGCAGCCGATTTGTCAATATACGTTGTTTATTCGTAATGAATAGGATGACGATCTTCTTATTTATTTTTCACCTAATTGATACTACGTGCTACACCAGTGACCACGGTTACTACAGCCACATTCACGATTTTCACTGCAGTTTGAAGAACAAGTTAATCTTATTCCATATAAAAACAATGCACATCTACTCATGATGGTAAAGTGGACAAGACCACGTCATGAAAATGGAGAACTAAAAACGGAACAAATAATGCTGAACTGAAATTGTGACGCTATCAAAGCTCCTAGGAGTACCATGGCATTTCACAAATTGCATTATGTATCGGAATAGCGGAAATACCGGCTACAAGGATGCCAAGCGTATCGAAGATTATGACAGTCGACAGAGCGAACTCGCGAATGGAGGCGTCAGCCTGCAAACAATGCATTCGCTTCGACGATATGTTCGCCAACACACTCATGAAGACAAACGGCAGTGGTCTCTGCCTTTTCTTTATTGAAAGATTATCCCTAACAATACTACATTCCAGTAGTCAAACCAGTGCAATTCCAATCTCATGAAAATCCCCAGGTTTATAGAGAAGAACCTTAATCTTCGGGTGTTGAGGCCGAATAAACTCATGACTACGATCAAAAAACCTAAGCTGGAAGGAGTTAAGGTGTAATTTCTGATATTACTATGGTAATAGTGTTTGGCTGATTTCTTTACCACCTACCTTATTTATATTGCACTGCATTTTTTTACTTACATATTTAAGCAACGAATTGAGGAAACGCTCAATACAGTACAAATGGCTTGAAATGTGGGGAAGATTGTTTCGTGACTTGTAGAAATTTTGAGGGATTACTAGCACATGCGGTCTTAAATCTGCTCAAAGATGAAGTTTTACACTACTGCTTCTGACATGCTTTGTCATTGAGTTCTCAGTTGCCACAACTGCATTTTCCACGGTAGCAGCAATTCATGACATAAGTTTGCTGCTTGTTAGAGTATTGGGTAGAAATGTCGAACGTCCTCTTAGTTAGAAAGACCTCAACGGGAAATGAACCTGCCAGCTAGCTGTTAGGGAAATGTGGGATTTCGTATAGAAATTAGTGCAAGTGAGTCTAATCAGAAAAGCATCTCACCTTTCTGTGTATGTGATAAAAAGTGTTTACATACGATGCGCCACCGATGAGACCCTCGTACAGAATGATGGCGCACATTACACCGAAGTGTGGCACGAAGGCATAAATCGCATTTAATATCATCAAAAGCATGTTCAGAAACTAAAACGGCGATATAAAATGGTGTGCGGTGAGGTGCCAACTTCGCTCTTAACACTTCAATATGACCTGTCATTATCATTTCAATCAATTTTGCAGTTGTCGACAATCGACTTCCACATCACTCTTGACCGGTTTGTCATTTTTTCATGCCTACTTTCATTTTTTTTTTCGGTTGTAATACCACGTCTGAATCAACTGCTAGGAAGATTGAATGAAGGATTCGTTGCCGAAAAGGCACTTCGGTCGGATCTACATGATGGTGAAGGCTTTCAAATCCTTTTGCACCATTGAACCAGGACTTAAGGAGGATGAAGTTGCGCCGCCAGCAGTAGGGCAGTACCCCGCACACTGGTTGATTCCATTTGTGACGTCAGAAGGGGAGACGACCGGTGAGAAGCCACAAAACCTCGGGTTTCGCAGAAATTCACTGGAACCGGATTTAACGAACATACACACTACACGCCATGAAGATTGTTTTTTTTTACTCTGCACGTGGCAGAGCAGGCACCACAGACCAGATCTTCACGCTCTTCTTGAAGCTGCAAATCGCACCGAATTTTATGTGATCGCCCTATAAAAAACAAAAACCAGGAAGGCTGGTATACACCGAATAGACAATGAGGCCCTTGTCATTCATTGAGAGAAGGTCCCGTGAGGAATTCTCGGTGGCGTAGACTTTGTTGCCTACTCGCCTACTGTCCATCTCATCTACTCGTACGAGATCCTTTCCCGTCGCATGGCCACCCTCCTACTTCAGCTGACGCGTCATAGGAAGATCATTGTGATCAATTGCTACACAGCGGCCAATATAGTTGGGAAGTACGAATGAGATCCGTTCTACTAACCGCTTAAAGAAGTTGTCCGCAATGGTAAAGCGATGGTTAGAAAATTGCTGTCCGAAACTTTAATGCCAGAATAAAAGAGCATCACAAAAAAGAACTGCCTTAAAAACTGCCGCTGCAGCTTGTGTTCTGATTGTATGGTTCCATTGTCAGTCCTGATGAACGAAGACGCAATCACCACAATTCTGTATCATAATAGGAAGTTAAAACGGAAAAGTTCCTCAACAAACCTTTTCCGTCTCACAATCCGCGTCTCATACCCTAAAATTCCCGCTGGAGAAGCAACACCTGGAGTTCTTCCCTCTGATATTCAAGTTGCGATCGATAGAATGAAAAAAAACAGCACCAAAGCCCTGTACTACCACCAGGAACTTTATCAGAGTTGGAATCCACAGTTTATATGTACTTCTTCCAACATATATCCCTTCAGTAGGAAAAAACTCCAGACTGGAGGACGTTGCGCACGGCCATCCCGTCCAAGAAAGGTGACTGAAGGGACCATCGAAACTAGGGCATCTCGTATGTGTAACTTGGGTGTTCAATGAAGATGGAGATCAACATAAAGGAAGAGTTAGGCAGAAGACGGAGAGCAGCATCTGGAGCATTTAGGCCAGTCAAAGAAACCACCGACAAACTAAAGGACCTAAAAATTTGCTCTAACCTTTTACGATTTAACAGTTCTCCCAACGCTCTGTTATGCAGCAGAGTCGCGAGCTGATACTTCAACCACGTCAAGAAGCCTGGACACCACCCACCGAGTACTTAGACTATGTCTGAAATTTAACCGCACACGAAGTAGTTAGCCGAAGTGTGAAACTCTAATTTCCGCAGTTTTCGAGGCAGAAGAGCACGCATCTTTACTGAAAAATATACCGGCGGGCCACATAATGAGAAGAACAAACGACAGATGGTCTAGAAAAACAATAGAGTAGACTCCATGAGGATGTAAGCATTCCTAAGAACTACCACACGTTGGGTGGACGTGTTCATGACTAGAGTCAAACAGCTGTACTCGCTGCTGCAGTTGTTTTAGAGATCACGGTACGAGACTCGCACTCACAACCATGGTCGAAGCGGATCACCACCACGGACGACGACCGAGAGCCAAAGACAGCAAGTAAGTAAGTAATATTATAGTTAAGGCTAATAAGTAAAGCACTAAAGAGCCATTTCTGAAAAGGCAGATGTCGGCTCTTGACTTTTTTAGCTTCCAATGTGAGAGATGCGGTAGTCAATAATATCCATTTGTAACAGATAATCAAGCCAATTCAGCATCCTTCCACTGGAAAATAAGTTTGCCCTAACCGATCACGGCTTCTTAGGAAATTTCACAGAAGAGTCAATGCGATTGGTTATTAACATGAACACCCAGACGTATTGTCGTAATGAGTAGTGCAGGTCCCATCACCTTTTCCAATCGCTTCTTCTTCCCGCAATCGTCGTCCATTGTAGTGGCTTGCTTCAAATATTGTCGCAGACACGAGGCATATACCGTAATCCAGACATCGTTTACATCTGTGAATGCAGATTGATGACATTAGCCATGAAGACATCCGCCTGTCGTTTGGATGGTCGTTGAGGCTTGCATTCTCTTGGAGTCCAGTCGACAGCTTTTTGTGTCCATCTAATGTCCATGTCCACCTGTTCTTAGTATTCTGTGTGCGAAAAATTCGTATTTTGCTATCGATGTCATTTTTCTAGACCTCAAAGATGAGACCGGTTCCCACGATCCCAGATGATATTCCAGCCGGACGTTGTGAGTGCCAGTCAAATTTCAAAAGACATTGTTCAAATGCTCAATGGGTGGCGCGCAGATTCCTTAAAGTGGTTGAAGTATCAACCCACGTCTCTGCTGCATAATAGAATGTTGGGCGAAGAACTGCTGAATACAAAACGTGAGCGTTTTATATACATACAAAACAATACGCCTAGTAGTTGGTTGGTAGCTTTTTAAGACGCCCATTCTCATGATGCTCTCCTTACTCCGTCATGTTGTTCCCAAATGTTTATTGGGTGACCAAGGCACACGTTAGAGATTGTCCTTTTAATCAGAGAACCATTTAGTTGGATTTTATCGCCTGCGCAGTGTGCGTTCTCAATGAACTCTGCCTTCGCCCAATCTTTAGTGCTTTTCACAGAACTTGTTCAGTAGTACAAGGACTTCTTTAGTAGCACAAGAAACCACAAAAGGCTAGTCCTTTGAAAAGAATTTACTTTGCAAAACTCTGGACCGCAGGTGTCTATGGTGGGGAACGAACGCGATATTATCCTTTCCGGGGAGTAACGCGTTCACCACCACACCATGCGGGTCCTTCGTTTCGGCTGTCTCTCAGCTATTTCTATCGATCTTTTTGCCACAGCAATCACCCGTCAGCGGGGT